GGCTTGCCCAAGGTCATCCAGCAGGTGCAAGTGGAGGAGTGGGGAATCAAACCCGGTTCTCCCAGATTAGAGTCCGCACACTCAACCACTATGCCAAAGTGGCTCCCAAGTAAAGATTTTTTAAAAAACTTTAAATAAAACGTGCTTAAAACACACCAACTATATGTGGGAATTAAATTCTCCATCAAATTTGACATACCACATTATTTGTATGTACTATCTGTCCCTAAATGGAGAAGAACATATATGGTGGCACGCTGCGATGCCTTCCCATCTGCACAGATGAAGGGTCGCCTTCAGGGCACCCCAGCAAGTCAACGCTACTGCGACTGCCCATTAGCAACTGTTGCCCAAAACATGCAATTGCGAGAGAAAAGTTCCTGAGGAAATGGCTATTAAAATGTTCTTCCATTTTCCAAATCTACAAGGTTGAGACTTCTGCTGAGTACTCTGTGCAATAATTGTATAATAAAGGTAAAGGTAGAGGTTCCACTGCTTTTTAAAGTTTAAATTAAACTCTTTTTTATGGTGTATGGCCTATAGGCTCTTAAACCTAATAAAGTGAAGTTTAAAACACTAGCACTCTTGCAATATTTTGTCTATTTAACAGTCTCTGATAACTGATACCTCTGCTGTCAAATATTTTCCCCTAATATCCAGCCGGTTCCTTCCCACCCTTAACTTAAACCCATTCTTGCGAGTCCTCTCCTCTGCCGCCCACAGAAACAGCTCCCTGCCCTCCTCTGAGTGACAGCCCTTCAAATACTTCCAGAGAGCAATCATGTCCCCCCTAAACCTCCTCTTCTCCAGACTTCTCCATTCCCAAGTCCCTCAAGCCTTTCCTCATAGGGCTTCTTGGTCTCCAGGCCCCCGATCATCCTTGATGGCACACCAGCAGCAGCTGAACAAAAAAAAGGGGGGGGGGACTCAACCAATGCTCCCTTCTAAGCTGTGGAGTCTTGTGAGCAAAAATTCTACTTTATGAGCTTCTGGCATTAAAGCTGTGAGTGAGCGATTTGGCTGCTGCATAAATTAGTTTGCTCTGGAGCCACCCTTCCTGAGCAAAGACAAAAATCTGTGAGCGGGAGGCTAAAAAACTGAGCTAGCTCACACTAACTCAGTTTAGAGGGAACACTGGACTCAACCCAAAATGTAGCTGTGATCTAAGAGGGTCAAGCTAACAAACTGTTATAAAAATACAAATATTTATTATGGTGTACACATAAATAAAACACACACGAGGTTAAAAAATAGTCCAAATGTCAGACTCTTAAAGTTTATTACATTCAGAGTACATAGTTATACATGTCCAATTGATGGGTTGACTACTACCTTTGATGGAAGTGACACACATCCCGACACATGGGATATTCGTTACCAAGAATAATTGGGAGAATTTGTGCAGCTACTATCCAGGGCCCATTATACAAACTGTTAGCAACTGCAAAGCATATGAGAAAGTAACACCTGGCTCTCCATGAAATTTCTTTTAATGCATTTATTTCTGGATGTGTGTTATTATACAATAGGAACATTGACCACTGAGGAAGGCCCGAAGGGGCCGAAACGCATACGGTCTATTGGCCAAAAGTTTTACCCGTCAATCGGACATGAATAACTATCTACTCTGAATGTAATAAGCTTTAAGAGTCTGATATTTGGGCTATTTTTTAACCTCGTGTATGTTTTATTTATGTGTACACTATAATAAATATTTGTATTTTTATAACAGTTTGTTAGCTTGACCCTCTTAGATCACATCAGCAGCGGCAGCAACTCTTGTAAGTCGGTCATTAACGGGCTGTTTTAAGAATTCACCCCTCCCAAGAAGACATCTGCGTCCCGTCTTCGGGATGCGAGAGCCGTCAGGACATACCCTGTGCTTGTTGTAGTGCTTGAACATCCTTAGGCAGTGCTCGATGATGAAGAGGAGGTAGATGCCGCCAAGCGCCACCAGGCCCTTCAGCACCGCGTCGTACTCCTCCAGGAAGCTCTGGACGGCTCCTCCTCCGTGCCCGTGGGAATGGCCGTGGGAATGCTGGTGCTCGTGCACGTGCCCCGGGCCCTCGTGGTGGCTGTGGTTGTGCACCCCTTGCGACTAAGGTCAGGGAAGAGAAAGAGAAACGGGAAGTTATTACCATCATCAATGCCGGGTGTTAATCATGGCTGAAATTTTCCGTCTTAATTTCTGTAGGCTATTGGAGCCCCTGGGATTTCTATGATCGTATACCACTGCCCAGGCCTGGATGGCCCAGGCTAGCCCGATCTCGTCAGGTTTCGGAAAGCTAATCAGGGTCGGCCCTGGTTAAACCTTCAATGGGAGATCGCCAAGGAAGTTGAGGGGGGATATGCAGAGGCAGGCAATGGGACACCACCTCCGGACATCTGACCTGAGCTGGATCACGTCAGGTCTCGGAAGCTAAGCAGGGTCGGCCCCGGTTGGTGCTCGGATGGGAGACCTTCCAAGGAAGTCCAGGGTTGCAATGCAGAGGCAGGCAATGGCAAGACCGCCTCTGTCCGTCTCTTGCCTTGAAAACCCTACGGGGTCCCACGGCACACGCTGACACCTTTCTTGGCACATGCCGGTCGTTTTTAGAAAGTGAGGATCTTGCTGAGCAGGGCTTCCGATTTGCCCTGGTCGGCCACGCAGATTAACATAACATTGTTTTAGTGCTTGGTTACGTTCTCTCTCACTCCTATTACCTGGCATATTTTAAATTACCCCTCTTCTCCCCGGCACTTGGGCTCCTCCCCCTGCGCATGCGTCTCTCTGCCTCTCAGGGCAGCCGCTTTGTAGTTGCGCCCGCCACCCCGTCTCGGAATGCCAAAGGTGACTCACAGGCACAAAAAGGCTGGGGACCCTTGATGAAGACCATTGTTCTTCCCCCATTAGAAAGAAGTTACTAAATTTCTCTCTCTCTTTCACACTCTCTCTCTCTCTCTCTCTCTCTCTCTTACACATGCACCCAAGAAAGTAAGTGTAGACCTGCTGGATCAGACCCAGGGTTCATCTACTCTAGCATCTCATACGAGGGCACAGGTGATAGATTAGAGATTGGAATCATAGAGTTGGAAGGGACCTCCAGGGTCATCTAGTCCAACCCCCTGCACAAGACAGGAAATTCACAAATACCTCCCCCCCACACACACACCCAGTGACCCCTGCTCCACGCCCAGAAGATGACAAAAATCCCTCCAGGATCCCTGGCCAAACTGGCCTGGAGAAAAACTGCTTCCTGACCCCAAAGTGGCAATCAGCATTTCCCTGGATCATGCTGAGCAGGGATTCCGATTTGCCACTGAAGCCGTGGTTGGCCATGCAGATTAAAATAACATTGTTTTAGTGCTTGGTTACGTTCTCTCTCACTCCTCTTACCTGGCATATTTTAAATTACCCCTCTTCTCCCCGGCACTTGGGCTCCTCCCCCTGCGCATGCGTCTCTCTGCCTCTCAGGGCAGCCGCTTTGTAGTTGCGCCCGCCACCCCGTCTCGGAACTCCAAAGGTGCCTCACGGGCTCAAAAGGGCTGGGGACCAGGGCTCCCTCTAAGATGCAGAGTCCTGTGAGCAAAAATTCTACTTGGTGAGCTACGGGCATTAAAGTCGTGAGCGAGCGATTTGGCTACTGCATAAATTAGTTTGCTCTGGAGCCATCCCTCCTGAGCTGAGACGAAAATGTGTGAGCTGGAGGCTAAAAAAACTGTGAGCTGGCTCACACTAACTCAAGCTTAGTGGGAACACTGCTGGGGACCCCTGATGTAGAACACGGTTCTTCCCCCATTAGAAAGAAGAGTTGCTAAATTTCTCTCTCTTTCTCACTCTCTCTCACACATGCACCCGAAAAAGCAAGCGTAGACCTGCTGGATCAGACCCAGGGTTCATCTACTCTAGCATCTCGTACGAGGGCCCAGGTGATAGATCAGAGATAACCCGAGCGTCTCCTTTTCAGTGGGCAGCCAGATAGGTCAGGAAAGCCCACAAATATGGCCTGAAAGGCCAAAGCCTTCTACTGATATTTGTTCCCATGTAAACTGGTGTTAGGGAGTAGAGATGTGAAGGCCCGGGGAAAAACCGTCCCCCCCCGTCCCCCCCGTTTTTCCCCAGAAAATTGGAAACATTGAAAAAAGAAGAGAAAAGGGGGGAAATGATTATGGAATGTTTTATTTTAACATGATGAATAAAATATTTTAAGACAAGGTGTTCAAAAATTTTCCAAATCATTTCTAAAAAATATGTATGGTATCAGATTGATCTAATTTCTGTGCACTGAGGACAACCAAGTCCTAGGTTACCAACTGAACTCTCCAATGCAAGAACAAGATGGATTTCTTCCTTTAGGAGGTGCTGTTGTCACAAGAAAAGAAAAAGGTTTCAGTTTTGTTTTTGCATGTGGGTGGGTATTCTGTTCGTAATAATTGTTTGGATACACTATATTTTTAATACGCTAGTTGTGATAATTTCATGCCAAGTAAAAACGTCCATAGTCATATTTTATGTTCCTAAAGTAATAGAATGACTTTCAATCTGGAAAAGAAAAAAGAAGTGCTAATGTAGCATTTTTTCAATTTTCCCGAAAATTTCCGTTTCCCCCTGAAAAAAACGGGTTTTCCCCGAGCTTCAAAATTTCCGGAAATTTTACATCTCTATTAGGGAGTGTTTGTAGCAATTCTGATTGTCATTATCCTATCCTCCACTAAAGTTGCCATTAAAGCAACAACATCCAAAGAAGAAACCTGTAACTGACAAATATAGAAGAGGTCATAACACCAAAATGTGTGGCTAGGCATAATCTTAAATTCAGCCCCCCCCCCCCGGGGGGGGAGCTGTGTTGGCTTGAAGAGGCAGAATCGTGATCCTTAAATCCAGCGATTTAACTCTGTCAAAAATTATTCTGTGATTTCTGGGATGTCTAGTTTCTGAGGTATCTAGTGTGCTGGTTTGGACTGGCCAGTTAGTGTACGACACTGGTCACAAAACAGGCTTGCGAGGAGTATCTGAAATACAGGGAGCGATCCAGTTCTGGTCTGCAGTAAAACTACTAGACCGGAGCGAACCTTTGACTCTCAAAAGCGTCTACTCTGAAAACCGTGCTGGGTCTTTAAAGTGCTACTGGCCTCCAAGCTAGCTGCACAATCCAGGGTTACTAAAATCAGTAGGACTGTTGTCACTAAGCTCTCAGCCGGTGTAGCAGAACCCTTTGCCCTCGATCCCAAAAATCAATTGGCTGCCTCCGCCCCCCCCCCCCATGTACACAGGGGCAAAGCACTATGCCCGAGTTTTTCTGCTTCTGAAACTAAATCAATAAAATGTTTTAGACTTGCAGATTGTAAGCCTGTCAGTTGGTAAACCCGCCAGCAAGGCCAGGCCTAGTTGGTTAGATGCCTGAGAAACGCTAGAAAAAACAGAACGGCCAGTCTGTTTCTCAGACAAAAGTGAAACCTGGAACACGGACTGGCCACAAATTAAGGGATTGTATCTTCCATTAGATGTTTGTTGTGTGGTTTTGTATGTTTTGTTCTGTTGTGTTGGTATATATGTTGTTTATAAAATAAAAAAAATGTTTTATATTAAAAAAACAAACTGGCCACAGTTAAAGCACTATTTCCATCTAGGAAATAAGTTCACTGCACCCCCGTATTAGTATACATTACATGGGCTTTAAAACATGTTCCAGCCATCCAGTTTCATATCTCCTAACTGCCTGGGTGCTTCGTTTTCAATATTCCTAACAGCTGATGTGGCAGAAGAACAGATCCTTATACACGTCCTCACGTGGGCTGAAAGAATTAAAAATCACCCACAGGAAATACGTCATCTCCTGTTCCCCGGGCCTGTAATAAGCCACCTCACCAAACATATGCATACAAGATGAGATGCTGTTATTATTGTATGTAACTATAACCAAGGTTTCTATAAAATTCCCAGTGTACCTCTGAGCAGGAGGGCGGGAGGAGGAGGAGAGAGATTGGATTTATACCTCACTCTTCACTCAGAGCGGCTTACAAACTCCCTTCCCTCCCCCTCCCCACAACAGACACCCTGTGAGGTAGGTGGGGCTGAGAGAGCTCTTTCCAGAACTGTCCGTGAGAGAACAGCTCTGACAGAACTACGGCTTGCCCAAGGCCACACTGGCAGCTGCAAGTGGAGGAGTGGGGAATCAAACCCAGTTCTCCCAGATTAGAGTCTGCGCACTTAACCACGATACCAAACTGGCTATGTTGGTCTGTGGCAGAAGAGGTAGATTTGGGGGGCACCTTAGATACCAACAAGAGTTCCAGGGTGTGAGCTCTTGAGTGTCAAAGCTCCCT